AATAATAATAATAATCAACAAATAAAATGACTGACGTAACTCTTCCATTTTTTTCAACACTTAAGAGAAGCGCGCCACGTAAGAAAAGATAAAGAAAGGAAAAAAAACAGTGTTTGACAATGTTAAACAATATCTCAACAGAATGTCTGTCTTCAACTTATATCTTTTTAAATGTATAAAAATATATAAATCTACAAACATTGCTTGTCTATGATTTATTACTGGTTGAATACAGTAATTATGGCACAAGGTCGGTGAAAGAGGGGAGATGGGTTAAGGCTGGTCGTCACTATCCTATACCTAGCTAATGAGATTCACAACCCATTCATTCGTTACAATTTAGTTATTCACCATAAGAATATATGCGTCACCATTCGCTCCTACATACACCAATATACCATCACGCAGAGGGCCGCTACTGAAAAACACCCCATGATTTAAACTTTCAATATATACAATTTCTTATAAATTCTATTAATGCTATGAAATGATGGGGGTGGGGTGATGACCCCCGAAAACAAAATGAAAAAGTAAGATGTTAGTAAAACCCATCCACCCCTCGATAATAAGAGTTGCCGCTGTATTTTCGCTTCAGACAAAATCAAGAAGCTTTCTCTCTAAGGGAAGGGGAAGGATAAAAAAAAACATATGGGCATTAGAAAATTAAAAGAAAAAATGATCCAGTCAAGATGAAAATGGGGAGGTTGCGAATCTCGATTAGGATCGTAGGGAAAAGCCGGGCATCGTTGCTTGTCTTGTAATGAGGGAAAAAAAGGGGGCTGTACTGGAAATGAACGCGTCAAAACGTATGGAACGCCGCCAGCGTGAAACATGCAAATGCAACGTGTGTAATATAATGGTGATCTTGTTCATCTTGAAATTTTCCGTCAGGTGAAAGACAGACATTCTGTTGAAATATTGTTTAACATCGTCAAACATTGTGTTTTTTCTTTTCTTTTTCTTTACTTTATTTGCTATCTTCTCTTAACTGATGAAAAATTATTATTATTATTATTATTAATAATAATAATAATAATAATGAAGGTTTTATCCTTGCTGCGCAGGACCAATGCTTGCTAACTAGGAATTATCAAGCACATATACTAAAATATTGTGTCAGCCCAAAATGCAGATTCTGTGATAAATATCCAGAAACGATTGATCATCTTGTATCAGGTTGTACGGTGTTGGCACCCACTGAATATAAAACCTGACATGACAGAGTGGACCAATATCTGCACTGGAAAATCTGCAACTTCTACGGGAAGGAAACTGAAAGAAACTGGTATGAACACCACCCAGACCCGGTTACGGAGATAAGACCTGTTACAATTCTATGGGACTACACAATACACACTGACAGAACAATCAAGGCCAACCGGCCAGATATTGTTATTAAAGACCACAAACAAAAACGGTGCCTCCTTATTGATATGGCAGTCCCTGCTGACTGCAATGTATCTTTGAAGATATTCAAAAAGTTGTCAAAGTACAAGGACCTTGAAATCTCGAAAATGTGGCATATGGGAACATCAACAATCCCTGTTGTAGTTGGAGCCCTAGGACTGGTTGGAAAAGATTGCAGTAGACTAATTGAAGGGATTTCTGGAAATCCATGCCTCAAAGAGATACAAAAAATTGTCCCGACAAGTACAGCCCACACTTTACGAAGGGCTTTATCTATGTAATTTTTTTGTCAGTGGAAAAAATGATGCCATTTCTAACCTTAAGTCCCTAGGCACCCGGAAAGAAATGTGTAAACGCCGGAAATCAAAGAAAATAATAATAATAATAATAATAATAATAATAATAATAATGAACATCGGCCAGCGCCGGTTACAGAAATAGAAGATGTCACCATTCTATGGGATTATACCATCCACACAGACAGAAAAATTGAAGCAAATGGGCCGGACATTATTGTCAAAAACCAGAAAGAAAAAACTTGCCTACTAATTGATATGGCTTGTCCAGCGGATTGTAACATAGCAACCAAGGAATTTGAAAAACTATCAAAATACAAAGACCTGGAAATTGAAATAGAAAAAAATGTGGAAATTGAAAAACAAGAATAATACCAGTGGTAATAGGTGCACTTGGAATTATAAAAAAATGGAACAAAACAACACATTGAAAGAATCCTGAAACCCCAGCTTAAGAGACATACAGAAAATTGTCTTATTAAGTACAGCACACACACTAAGGAGAACTTTGTCTATGTAACGCTAGCAACTTCATCGGAGATAAAAAAAAAAAAAAAAATTAACATGAAATGTAATATAACAACACACCACGACCTGCCTTAGGTCTTTCCGCAGACTTGGTAGGTAGTGTGTCCATAGCAGAAATCGAATGATGATGATGATGACAATAATAATAATTATTGTTATTATTATTATTATTATTATTATTATTATTATTATTATTTCCTTTGATTTATAGTGTATACTCATTTTTTCCGGGTCCCAACCAGAGACCTAAGGTCAGAAATGGCATTTTCCACTAAACATTTAAAAAACAAAACAAATCAAAAATAAGATAAAAATCTAAGATCATGGACATTTTACACTAATAAAGCTCTTCGTAATGTGTGAGCTCTACTTGTGAGTACATTTTTTTGTATTTCTTTAAGGCATGGACTATCAGGGATCCCTTCAATGAATCTGCCGTAATTTTCCCAATCATACGAAGGGCTCCAACTCAAACTTGTATTGTTGATCTACTCACGTGCCACATCTTTATTTCATTGTCCTTGTATTTTGATAGCTTTTTGAAGATCTTCAGAGATACATTAGAGTCTGCAGGTACTAGCATATAAAAAAGAAGGCATATTTTGTTTTTGTGGTCTTTGATCACGATGTCTGGGCGATTAGCTTTGAGTGTTCCGTGTGTGTGTGTGTGTGTGCATTGTAAAGTCCCATCATAGGTCCTATCTTCGTAACCGTGTCTGGGTGGTGTTCATACCAATTTCTTTCAGTTTCCTTTCTGTGAAAGTTGCAGATTTTCCACTGTAGATATTAAGTGAATCTATCATGCCGAATTTCATATTCAGTGGGTGCCAATAGCGTGCAGTTTGATACAAGATGGTCAATTGTCCCTGGACATTTATCACAATCTGCATTTTGGGCGAACACAAGTTTTCAGTATATGTGCTTTGCAATTTCTAGTTAGCAAGCATTGATCCCGTGCAGCAAGAATAAAACCTTCAGTTTCAGTTTTTAACCCTGCACTACATATCCACTGATGGGTACGAAGTTTGTCTAGATCAGCTTGTTTGGTGTGACTTAATATTGAGCATAAAGATGCTTATCGTCGATTGCATTTGTCTTTGCTTTCTTTTTAAGTATTTTGTTTCTTCGGTCGATGTATTATACTTTACTTGTATTTCTTTATCGATTTGAAACTCCATTTTTAACTTGTTGGCTTCTTATATTACTGTATACAGTTTTTGAAATGTCCTTCTTACTTTAGCTGGCAGAATTTATATTACTGAATTTCCAATTCGTTTATTGGATCTTTTTCTCATAATTCTCCCCAAAATGAAAAGAATTTATATTTACTGAAATTCACACCAAATTTTCCCAGAGCGAGTTTTTTTTCCATTGCACTCAGGTTGGGTTGACTTTTGCGATCACCTCAAATGTGGACGAATCGGCTGCGCTATTTTTATATTTGGGGTCAGCATTTGCGTCCGCCCCGATAAATAAGGCAAAAAGAGATTTTTTTAAAATCTTTTTCCATTTTTAAAATGTAAAATATTCCTTTCAAGTACCTCAAATATCATCCGCTCTTACGAAATGTGTCTATTTTTGGTATTTTTTAATCCAGAGGTTTAAAATTGTTGCTAAACAAATTTTGATTTAAAATTTATAATTTCAAAAGAGTGCCAGAAGTTAATAAAATCAAACAAACTTTTTTATGTATAATTTCTTAAGGAGTATTAATATTTGCGATTAGTAACTTTACATTATTTGGTGTGAATTAGCAGAAAAAAAATCCCGCTTGTTTTTCTTCGTTGTACCAAAATTAGTACAAGATTAGCGTAGTTAAAACAATACTTCGTCAATGTTTGAAAACCGCTGGCAGACAAATCTCCAACTGCAGAATATCTACCAACCGCTCCACGCAGTCGGATGTGGCATAAGTCAGGATTTTATGTGGGGTATCCGAGTCCGTAGGCTCGACCAAATATTCCTCGTAGACAACGTATATAACAGTGTCGGGAAGCTGTTTCCCGAGACGAGACTCTGCCCTTCGACATAGCCTCGTTTGGGAATCCTCTCTGCAATAGGTAGAGAGTTTGACCAGCACAGATGGAAACGAATCTCCTACTACAGGATATCTACCAACTGCCCCACACAGTCAGATGTGGCACAAGGTCGAATTTAATGCAGGGTACTTTGTGGCGACTGAAATTAATACCATTAAAAATCTACATTAGGCATATTGCTACGTATATGATTGGTTAATATGCACATAAAACTTTTGTAACAAAATGCGTTATTTTCGACTTGTGACACTCAAATTTATTGCACGTGTTTCATATATTAAGGATGTCTTAAATCACATGTCATATGACCTTAATTACGTTATTTCCTATAACAGGCGTAGAATGTTTTTCATTCTAAAATTCTCCGAACACAAAACTCGAGAGACACTCGAGTTAGAGGGGTTCTATGAAAATGCTTAATGATAAAGAATGTTTGTAAGATGAATGAAAGAATATGTTGTTTGCTTTTGTTTAGCGGCATATTAACATCTCTATGGGTTATTTAATGACGAACTCAAAATATTTTCTACGCAATTTTATTTTGAAGATAATCAAGGTTTAGTGATACAAGTATTACTAATTAACCCACTACCTGTGGGAGAATAGGTGGATTCATACCTTTTCCAAGGGCATTTGCGCGTAATTGAATATAACGAACCAACAGTGATACCGGAACTCGATATTCCAACTAACAATTCCAAGCCATTGTACATTATACCACTCGCAAAAGCTTACAGCACTTGGTATTCCGAACCGGTCACCCATCTAGGTACTGAACAGGATCGAGGTTGCTTAACTTCGGTGATCGTACGGGGGTACCGGTGTTTCAACTTGATATAGCGCTAATCCGAAAGAGGTTATAAAAAACGAATATTAGGAAGATAGGTTGTTGCGGGATCTATGCTGAGTAAGATGTATCAGTTGATTTTTTTTGTGAAGGCCAAGAATGTGCGGTGATCGTAATGCATTTATCCACAACAAATAAATCAAACAAAAATAAATACACAATTCAACTTCAAGAAATTACTGAAAAACAACATCATTAGAGATTTCAACAATAACGTGAATATATATATATATATATATATATATATATATATATATATTTGACATACACAAAGTGATAATAAGTTGCTTGTTACATGTGGCAAGTGAGATAAGGTTACAAACATAGTCCATGAAGAAATTTAGTGAGTAAGGGTTGATAGTTTAAGTTTGTTTGTGAAAATGAAATAGTTTGTTATCTGCAAGGAGAATTGTCAGTTGTGTAAGTTCAAGTGATAGTGTGTATGTGTGTGACAACTGCTAGTCTTGATTTAAGTTATGAAGAGTTGTTCGCCTTTAACTGATAGGCTAAAGTTGATTGAATGTACAATTACTGTTTTGTAGTCACTTTTTATTGAATTGTAAGTTAAGTTTCTTCACGCGGCAATAGTTGTGCGAGTTGTGTTGAGTTGTTGAGAGGTTGGTAGTGGTTATTGAGTCAGTGTGTTGGCACGCGTGGGGTCTGCTGGTATCTCTCAAAACTCTGTGTCTGACTAACTTGAATTAAGTCGAGTGATTCTTTTTACAGATTTTCGGGTTTCCAAATAGACTCCAGAGACCTGCGCAGGAAAAATGTCTCAACTTTCCTGCATTTTAGTGTCCTTTTAACCGTTGGGGGATTGAGTTTGGAAAAATAAAGTGATGATTGGTTAAAGGTTTATTTGAGGAAGAGTGCATCTTCCCGTAATGGGGGACAGGCAAATGTGGAGGATTCCATAAGTTGACTTGTAGAGGGTAAGATAATAGTGTTCAGGTAAGCATCCTCGCAAGAGTCTGTTCGACAAAGTATCGTTTTTTTTTTTTAAAAAACATGTCTGAGCTTAACGAATTCTGAACGCATCTCAGGAGGAAAATCCATTTTCCAATCGGAAATAATAGATTAAGCAAAAACACAACCAAAGGTAAGTAACAGGGTCAATCATAATCTTATTGCGCCTATCTGTAAAGAAGAGAACAGCTTACTGCCATAAAAAAATCAACATCCAGAATCCCAGCCTTTTACCAGGAATCGAACACAAATCTCTGAAACCAGTGGTGAATAAAGGTACGCCGCTAACCTTATAAAAAAAATATTACCAAGAACAAACTCTTATTACGATATTAGTTTATCGATTTATCAAATGAGATTGTATATCCTCTTCTAAATATACTATTCAAGCTTTTCATATATATATATATATATATATATATATATATATATATATATATATATATATATATATATATATATATATATATATATATGTGTGTGTGTGTGTGTGTGTGTGTGGTTTTTTTTTTACTGGTAAGACTATCTTCCTTAGAATCAATAAACAAAAAAAAAAAAAAAAAATAAGAAAATTTCCTTCGCCAAGCGATTTTAAATGTCTGATGTTTTGTTATCTCAAAGACGTCTCAATGGGTAGTACTTCCGGTAAGTTTATCTACGCATGCGCACAAACTCATCTTACCTTTTATCAAACAAGTTCGACGTACTCATTCATTTTCCTTCTATTTTTTCTTCTTCAACTTCTCCGTCGTATATTTTCCTTTTTTTTTTTTTGGTTTCTATTTTCTTTTATTTCGACGTCTTCTTTACCGCACACTTTTGTTCATACATTAATAAACTTGTCCTTTTAGCAAGTTCGCCATTACGTGCAACATATAAGCCATCTCTTAGTTTCCCTAATCTGCTAGAGATTGTTCGATATAAAATCGGTTGCTATAAAATATATAGTCTTCTTTTAATAAATCGCACATCAGTGTCTCGACTGTTGTTTAAGTGTACCATTCGTCCTTGCTCTGAATATTTTTACCACATCTAGTCTGGTTCTCTAGTTCTGTTATATATTTTTAAATTCTTGATAAAATCCAAAGAAGAATCGGCACTCTTATTGGTCCTGACCTGGCACCTCAGCTTCAATCCTTTTCATTTGCCTTTCCTTTAAATACTTTTCGGTTATTGTTCTGATGAACTCTCCTCTATGATACCTAGACTTTATGAATTTAAGCGAAGTACTAGATTGGCGGAGAGGTCTCGTTATTTTACAGTTGAAGTGGCTAGATTTAACCGTAAGTTCTATGCTAACAGTTTCTTCTTTCGCACTTGTAGAACTCTCTTCCAGCTTCTTGCTTCCCAATCAAGTTTGATGTTAAAAAAGTTAAATGCAATGCCAATCGTTGTCTTCTGTCATCTTAAATTCTGTTCTTTTATTGTCACCCATGCTTTATTTCCTTGACTGAGGTGAAATGATAAAAAATACCAAAACACTGATTAACATGTCAAAATATATTCGAAAAATAATTATTATATATTATCATTCTCTTATTTATTTATTAAATTTTAATACTGTCTGTAACATTCTACGACTATAAACCAAACAGCTTGACAGATAGAGAGAAATTTAAAAAGCAATTATATTTAGGCATAAAACAGAATATATTAACTCCACATCACCGAATAATTGTCATTGTCCAAGTCTGGTGAATTGTAGGCTTGGTGAAAGTCCTTGTACTCTGGTACAAGCTTAAAGATATCTGAGCTGAATTTCAACGGTCTGACCAATAATATATCGATCACCGATCTACAAAGAACGATGAAGATAAAGAAATTTTGTTCGATTAGCGTTTTTAGATTAACCATCTAAAAAGAATTATTAAGATGATGTAGTTTTTAAAGAATATTGTATATTTCATAACAACATATATTAAAGACGACCGAAAAGGTGCAGTGATTAAGTTTTTTTTATTAATTTTTCTAGTGTTTACATAATTGTTTTCTTTTCTGAATAAAAAGCGTGAAAAAATGAACACGGGCATGATGTGCTGACCATATTTGGAAAAAGAAAAATTTCTATCACCTTAGAAACATAAAAAAAACCGTTCAAATTCAGTTAAATGTAAAAATAAAAAACAATCAAAAAAAAAAAACATCCTCAATAATGGCTAATGGAAAAGCCGAAAGCACTTGGATGAATAGAATATAGGGAGAATTTATGTCCAGAAAAGAAAATATTTATACGCAAACAAGAAATATAAAATAAAAAGGTTAATCACAGTATCTTGTCTGTCGTACTAAATGAATGTTTTATAAAAGAGGGATTGCGGCCCGAATACACAATTATAATTATATATCTATATACATATACATATATATATATATATATATATATATATATATATATATATATATGTGTGTGTGTGTGTGTGTGTGTGTGTGAAAAGTGTATATAAATATAAATAAATATATATATGTATAATTATTTATATATTATATGCATGGTACTTATTAGAAAGCGCTCAATATCAGAGATAGAGTTAACATATTTGGTTGGAGAGATGTGAGTTTGTTATATATATATATATATATTGATGCATGTTTCATTAAATAATATAGACAAGTTTTATCTATTTATTTTATGTAAATTCTTTTCATATCGTAAATCACCATATTGATACATATTTTTTAAATACTATCTAAGATTACATTACAATATATTAATCAATACACTGACAAAACAATAAGGATAGTCTCTTTTTGTTTGCATGGAAGATTTCCAAGCAACGATAAACTCGTGCATGCAAGACGCCGGAAACTTTAAAACTTTTTAACTTTAAAAATCAGGAGATCAGTTGTATCCGCTACCTTTGTTTCAACCTCACCGTATCCTCATAGAATTTTTATGAAATGGTAAATAATATCAAATGGTAAATGATATCATTTGATAAAAATGCCTGAGGATACCGTAAGCCTGAAAACCAGACAGCGGATTTAACTGATCTCCTATATTAGTGCTGACTGGTTCACTTTTGTGTCCCGGTCACACTCTCCATTTAATCTCAAGGTGCTAGAGGCTCTTTATACCGGGTCCTGCAAACCTTCCCTCTCTAAACAGCGTGAACGTTTGTTGGGGATCGATGTTATTTATCTCTAGCTCTTTGGATTCATTTTTATTTTCTTTTTTCCTCTTCGTTACACATTTTCCTGTTATTTTAATCTTAAATCTACATTATTTACATTATTCGGACTATTGTCCTCATCCTTGCCATATTTTTTACAACGTTTCGGCCGTTGTACGCTCCGGCCTTCTTCACGTGGTTGAAATATCGAACTGAACTGGGGTAGACTGTTCTAGTTCCATGTGCCATGTTTAATGGATGTCAGTTATCAGTTATCTCCTGTTAATTTCCCTCTGCAAGTTCTCCACTACCTTAACCGTTTATTGAAATCACACTTTTTGGGTCATGTCACGGGATCTAACCAACGCCTGTGCCATGTGTTGTTGAGGACATCTTGTTCCACGTGTTCCATGCCAGTTATCAGTTATCTCCCGTTAATTTCCGTCTAAAAGTTCTCCACTGCCTTAGCCGGGTATTGAACTCTCACTCTTTGGGTCCTGTCATTGGATCTAACTAAAGCCTTTATCCACTGTGCCATGTGCCCTTGAGAACAGTCTACCCCAGTGAGCTAAATAAAGGGTTCAGTTCGACATTCCAACCACCTGAAGAAGGTCGGAGCGTACAACGGCCGAAACGTTGTAATCTTCAGTTTTCTTAATCCTTGTCTTTTTTTATTCTCTCTTTTTAATAATGTTTTCTTTTTTTTTTACAGCTTATCAAACCTTTGTGGGTTTGAAATCCAAATATATTTTTGAGTTTGTAAGAATATTTCTTTTTGTTCTTTTACGAGTGAATATTACATTGACATTTTTTTAAGATAAAAGTGATTTTTACAAATATATGTCCTACTGTTTATCCCATAGATGGTGGAGAATCAATGAATTCAGACTTTTCTAAACAGTATTTGTGTGTAAG